CCCCAAAACCCCAAAACCCCAAACATTAAGTATCTAGTAATATTAAAGAGGAAGAAGGAAGATTTTGATCAATAAATTGATAATTAATAAACTGCTTGGATCCAGCTATTTTTTACTTAATACATTAAATATTATAAAATATTTGCAAACCTAGTAAATGAAATCTTTCTCTACTCTCGTTTTCTCAACCTTGATTGCTGTGAGCTAAGCTACCTAAGGAGTTGATGTCTCACAACTTGTCAATAATTGGTCTTGCCTCAAGAGTGCTGGTTACAACTTTGCCATCCCAAGAGCTTGGTGCTCTTATGGTGGATTTGATAAAAATGCTCTTCAGAATATCCACAATGCTAAGGCCGCTGGAATCACATATGTTGATGTTTACATGTTCCCTTGCAGAGGCAAGAGTGCTTCAGAGCAAGTAAGTGAATTAGTCAGCAGCCTTGGTTCAGCTCCTTACGGATAAATCTGGGTTGATGTTGAGACCAACCCATCTAGTGGCTGCTCCTGGTCATCATACTCAGGCAGCTCCAACTGTCAATACATCAGTGACTTAGTTAGTGCTATCCAATCCCATGGAAAAGCTCCAGGTATTTATAGTTCATACTACCAATGGGAAGGTGTTGTTGGAAGTGCTCAATCATGCACTGGTCTAGGCCACATCCCACTCTGGTACGCTCATTACGACGACAGCTAATCATTCGGTGACTTCAAGAAATTCGGTGGTTGGTCCAAGCCAAACATTAAATAGTTCAAGGGAGACACTACCGCTTGCGGATACGGAGTTGACCTTAACTTCTACTGAACGAAAGAAATTTAAAATTTGGCTTATTTCTAATGAGTCTGGTTCAGATTTATCTAATCACTCTATCGAAAGATAGGATGTTTACCAAATATCATTATCATTTGATTTAATAATAGACATAAATCCCAAATTGATTCATTGCTGGATTAACTATTTTATATTTTAGTTTTCTTTCTTCTTCAAGAGGAAATCAGACTTATTCTTACTGAAGGGGTTTTGGGGTTTTGGGGTTTTGGGG